GTGAGATATCGTGCAGGGACAGACAGAAATATCTTATAGACTATAGACCTAAAGTCTGGCTGTTAACCAGTGAAGTTACGTCTAGAGTAACTAAGTTATCGAGAAAAACAATCTACCCTAACAAAAGTCTATGATGTTGATTTATTTATGTAACCAAAATGGTATTATTTCATATACACGTTACTTAGCCGATGTCAGGATATTATTTCTTCTTTCAATTGGAGTTTGGCGCAACTGCAAAAACGAATACATGTACATCTTCTAGTTCTATTGCTAAAATGAGAGTCAGGCATGGTGGATCGATCGAACAAGGGCATGTACATGTGAAACGATCAAGGGTCAAAGTTAAAAATACCGCTGAGCAATCGTGACGAAAAAAAAAAACCACGGGCGACGGGCGACGCACGACGGGCGACGCACGACGGGCGACGCACGACGGGCGACGCACGACGGGCGACGCACGACCGGCGACGCACGACGGACGACGCACGACGGCTGATGTGGAATTCCATAGCTTCTTCTTCATTATCCTATGTTGGTGACGTTACCATCTAATTCCTGTGAGTCGGAGTTTCTGTAATGGGCACAAGCATGTCCAAAAATGATACAAGTGTTTATCGGTACTGCATTTTTATAATGTCAGCTTTGATACTCAGTGATAACAGTCATAAACACTGAAATTTTGTTGGGTCTGTAAAAAGCACACTTCAAATCCCTGTCATTCTTAGAGAACCTGATGTTAACGTGGTCCGGAGAAAATGTGAAAAAGATTTAAAGAAGAGTTCTTTTAAAATTAAAGAATTGAAGAATTTTTAAAAACCTTAATTTTGATTTCCCGACCGGTACTTTAAACCGAACTCAAGATGTCTTGATTTTTTCAGTTAAGATATCTGGAAATGTCTTTGTTCGTGTGTGTGACAGTATGTTTATATTTTTTACGTTATTGAGGAGTGATTGCCAATTGCATGGTTCAACTGTCACCGCAGGAGAACAAGTCTACCAAACCGTCTGGGCGTTTTATTGGTTGAACCAATTCTGTGCGAATGCGTCAACAGGGCTTCCACTCGGAGGGTTTTAGCATAAGCAATAAGCCACTTGTGAGTTAAATTTGGATAAAATCGGGTACACTGTGATATCTAATTGCACAGAAACGTAACAACTTGAATTCCCTAGACTAAAGACACTGTTGCTATGCCTCGTGATTCCGGGCAAGCTTTTGCATAGCGACCACAATCTCTGGAATGGAATGGTTCCTTTTGCCGTTCTTATCCATTGAGAACAGTGTATTATTGCAAGGCGTCTCTTATGTGACTAAGCAAAAGCTTGCCCTGAATCACAATGGTTTCAGTATGAAGAATTCAAGCTGCTATGTTCACATGTAACTCAGCTCAGTGTACCAGATTTTATTCAAATTTAACTCGCAAATGGCTTATTCCACGGTATAGAGCCTAAAAGTTAACCCCTGATGGGCGCTTCCGGAACCTTTGGATAGGAAACATAACGTGCAAAGATTTTAGAATTTGTAATATTTTTTTATTCAGTTACTTCTTAAAAAATCCAACTCGGAAAAGAGGCTTTGGAAAATATTTGCTGGTATATCAATTTATAGAAACTGAAAAATCACCTATCCTGCCAAAAATTGGCCCATCACTTCCGAAAATCTAAAATACATGAAGAACAGTGCAATGTGGCAGTCTCGTACACAGATGAATATATACGGTTTGAAATTTTATGGTAGTCTGTCCGTAAAGACCGAAATAAAAACAGATCAAAATATTTAAACAGTCTTATAATTTATAAGTAGTAAACTTTATGCAATATTCTTCTTCAGTTTCGAAAGATTCTAATCTTTTATCTAATCTTTGCTGACAACAACTGTGTGATGTCAACTCAACTGAATATGGAATCCATCGACTGCAAGTAGGTAAATCTTTGCAACGTTGTACAATATCGTTTTCACGTAAGCACGAGCAGTGAAAACAAACGTGCGTGAACATGGAGACCTAGGTACGATATCGCCGGAAGTGAAAGGTCGTTAATAAAATTCGGGTCTCTTTACCCTTCTCCAGGTGACTTCTCCTAAATATTACTCGAGGAAGACAAAGGTAAATCTCCAAAATGAGTGTTTCATGGGGTGGTTTCAGTTAGGAATTATTCTTCCAAAAATTATCGAACGTGATAGGACCGCCCAACGTAAAATCCCCATAGGAGGACCGCGCTAGTGTTCCGGAAGTTCGCTTCGTGACCTTTTACTTCCAGGCCCTATTAAGCCCTGGTGAAATGCCGTTCGTCTGGTATTAATATACGCATCTGTGTATGCTTAACTAACCCAGCAACAGAGTTCATGGTTTCACTACTAGCAATGCCCACCAGTTTAGGTCCTCACGAACGACGCTAGAGGGGAGACTACCGAAGGGCCTCCCACTTGCATGGAAAGCAGGAGTGATTTTCCCAATAGGCGACGATTCCCGTGCACTATTGTTTATTTTCGCCATGCAATAGTGGACAATCCAGTGGTGAGGAAGCAGGTGCACAGCATTAACGCAATGTAGAAGTAGGACAGAATCAAAGAGAAAAATCCCAAGCCAGTAGTTTTTGCTCCCAGACTATGATGCATCGAGCAATACACGTACCCAAACCGGTTAGTTGCACTGTGCACTATACGTACATGTCTGACACACACATCAGAACGTCTCTAAAATGTTCATAAAAACACCCTCTTTAAGCAACAATAATTAATTCGTCCAGCCCAAATGCCATTATTTGAAGGTATGAGCAATCAGCTTACCGTATGTATGGGGGTACCATACATGAGAATCTTTCTAAATGTGAAATCCTGACCAAAACCGGTCAGTGGCACTTCTCAATGATCCGTGCTCAACAGAAGTCAAAGACTACTGGGTTCGAGTCCCACCCGAGTGAGCTCGTGCCTTTTTTCGCAAGCTCTCAGACAAGCACTGAGCATACAGTGTTTATTAATAGTACATACGTTGGTAAGGGCGCAAAACCCGTTATATAAATTAACATCATCTCCCCAACGCAAAAATACATCTTGAAAATAGTTCGCAGTACCCGCTGCTTCACCTGACTCGGACCGGCCAACCGACCCCGGCAAGCTCGGTGGTCGAGTGATTAAGACGTCCACACTAGTAAGCAGGAGGTCGTGGGTTCGAGTCCCACCCGAGTAAGCTTGTGACTTTTTTCGCAAGTTCTCCGAGAAGCACTGAGCATACAGTGTTTATTAGTATGCGTTGGGTAAGGGCAAAACCCGTAATATAAGTAGTCAAAGACTGAGAAAGCGAGTACCGTCTGGTGGCCAAACACTTGCAGCGAGTCCAGCAATTTATCGGCAATTAAAATATTTCGACAAGCACTTTTAAACAGTTAAGGTACATAATTGATCCCTTGGAATGTCTCATAGATTAGATTCCGACAAGTGTTTCTATAAGCCAAAAGTTTCATTACACATTTTCCACCTATTTACGAGGAATATCGTAAGTTAGGTTTACTTTACAGATAGCGGAGGGGCCCTTTGTATTCGTGAAGGACCGTCTGCCCAGATAAAGCGGCGTTCATCAAAGGGATTTATTTTTAAGTATCGTAAATGACACTTCATGCACGTAACGGAGGTTGTGTGAAGCAAGTATAAAATCCAGTTTTTCCATATGCATGTACATAAGAATTCAACTAGAAACGTAACCATTCGCGTTGACACCAGTAAAGTCCGAAAAGGTGACAACCAAACCGCGGGACGGACGACTCACTCTTTCTTCGTTTTCAGTCGTCAAGATGAGGAGACTGTTACTACTCTGGTGTGTTGTGGCGCGAACTTTAAGTGTTTTTTCTCGTAGTAAGTACCAAACATAGATGCCAAAGACCCCCCCCCGTCCGCGTACATACCGTCCAATCAATTACCATTTGAAAATTGCATGAAGGAAGATCTAAAATGAACCTTTTATTGTTTACTGTTTTCAGTGTATTAAGGGTTAAAATGATGATTCGTAGCGTATGTGTAGTGGAGTTACAGTGCAAAGTTAAAGTTGTCATACGTTGCCAGGTCATCAGGCCGAAGGGGAGAAGAGGTGGCCACAGAAAGGGCAAAATAGCAAAATAAAAGTGAAAATGGTCGTTTAGTGACATACTGTTTTCCGGCATTTAGCTTATAACTGGTCCTCTCTGCACTATGCTTTTATGAACGCTTTATGGCAACCAACAATGCGACCAAGTGTAGCAGATTGAAAGAAGTTATGACCCAAACAGTTGACAATGCAATGTACGTGGGAACTACATGTACATAAACAAGATGTCTCTTCTCTGGGTGCATGCAGCTAAGCTGCGCGTGATGTGACTGTGCGCATTAAATGGAAAATAGTGGAAAATAATATTGATTGTGGGTTCTATCGATTAAACAAGTGTGGGAGCTGTTATGAAAAGGAAATGTTTTACGGGAGTTGGAGAATGCACGGGGAGGAGTGAGCATCGCAAGAAAAACGTGTGTATTTGCAAGGCGCAAGTAAAGAATTAAATAGGCTGATTCGGCACAACCTGTAACCAAAGACGTTGTTGTCTATGCCAGTACTGGTCTTGCGTATTTAATCTCGTACCATCAGCCCATCTCACCTCCTTTAAGTCTACGACGAAATTGATAAGCTGCCGTATTCTTTTTAACACCTACGGACCGACGGCACTACAAAACCGAATAGTCGCGAATAGTTGACTAGACTATAGTCCAACCATCGTCGTTTAACGTACGTTCGATCAGCGTCAGTCGAACTATGGTCCTTGATCGGACTTGCCTAATATTGCACATGTATGCGAATTAACTGCTCCGTGTACGGAAAACTCATTCAGCTTTGATATTAAGCTTAATCTGAATCCATGAAGACTTTTGTACTTTCCAAAGAGAGCAAGAGAATATCTTTACGTTGGAATGACATGACGTTGTCAAAAATAAGCCATATTTTTCAGGTGACTACTTTGGGGATTCAATTATTCCTTAGCTAGACAAGCCCCAGTAGACTGCCTTGCATGGGCGTCGCCAGGATTTTTTAAGGGGGTATTTTCACTTTTTTCAGCTGTATTTGCACGTCTGTTCCTTTTTTAAAGAAGAAAGGCAACAAAATATTGTGGGGAACTTGCCCCTTTTTACTGGAAATGCCTTTGAATAGTGCATATGTTATGTTGACCTGAATTGGCGCCGCTTATACTTACCTCAAGTAATTTTGCCATTTTTCCATTCTTTACAGAAGCACTTTACGTTGTTTTGATGAATGTCTGTGCTTGGTGCATGTAGTTTTGCACATAAATGCCATCCATACCCTGAAAAGATGAATTTTACATGAAAGATAAAAACTGTAATTTTTATGTACCAACCATGATTACATCCGAGGGCCCTACCTACGAATTTTGCCCCCAAACCGCCACTAAAGTGGGCAGCATATGTAGCTTTTGGTGGCAAATTCAACAGGGAATGCTGCTTCGGGCTAATTCAACATGATGTTGTGGGAGAAAAAAATCGAAAGCCTTATTCACGGTCCCGACATCCTTGCTTTTATTTGCTGGTGTTATTTTCTTAGAGTTTTAGTGCTAATATTTGATAAACATATACCGATTGCTTACTTTCCTATTCACCAACGAAGTATCCTTTGTGCGTATAAATAAAAAAATCTGTCAGGGGGTATTGTCCCCCCCCCGCTGGATACGCCACTTGGAGTGGGATTGTTTGAACGGTGACATCCATTCAGTCTGACCAATTTATACAATTTGAACAGGTCATCCCAAAGTTCCTTTCCCGAGATAGCATTAACCAAAATGCAGCAATGTCAGCTCAGTGCGTACTCGTCTTTGTATGTTTACTTGAAAACCTCCCTGAAAAACTGGCTGTAGATAATTTCTGGATCTGCTGTTGATCAATGTGGAAATGAACCTAGAGAAAGTTAGGATAGACTCACAACTTCAGCCAAATGCAGTTTTACGTCATAAATTCGCTTGACTTGAAATGTGTTCAATATTTCGCGAATTCGCAACACGAGTACTTAATCTGACGTCATAGTTTCCTGATCGTGTTCGCATTTTCCGCTAGTAGGCCGGCCTGTAATGATAATAGAAGGCTTTCATTAAGTATTTTGTAAAGCCTGTTCCTCAATGAAATCTGTAACGATTGATTTCGCCTGGGTTTATTCAAGAGGCTGACATCGTCCTCTATGGAGGAAACATCATCACAATGGAGGACAGTGACCAACCGAGTGATCAGGGAGAAGCTCTCCCTCCCAAGGTAGAGGCCTTTGCCATCGCTGGCGACACCATCCAGGCGGTAGGGACACTGGAGGAGGTCTTTCGCCACGCGGGGCCAAAGACCCAAGTGATCTTTCTGAACCAACAGACCCTGATGCCGGGATTCATTGAGCCCCACCAGCACGCCATCTCCTGTGCCCGCATGCGGGGCCAGTACATCAACATTGGTGCTGTCACCTACAGGTAACCTGTAAAATTAACCTTAAAAGAGCCGGGGAGGATACCCCCCCCCAGCACCACCACAAAATAATATTTAACGTCGCAGTGCATTTTTTTCACGAGCATAGTCTTCACAAGGTTTTTTCTCAGTAATGTCGGTTATTTTGACATTTTGTGAAAATCGGACATACCGTTTTCGCCCAACGCCCTTTTTGCCGAGAGAGGTTAGCAAAATGTGAATAGATTTTCCATTGACACGCTCATTACACACGGGCCGACAAGCACGAGAGCATGAACATTAGCAACGTAACAAAACCTTAGGTTAAATTGAGTTTAAAGTTCAATGTTTTTATCATGCATGAAAAGGTTTAGAAAGATCGGACATGGGACGGTTGAGTTCCCTATTGACGGCGGAATCCGCCCCAGCTGTGAGTTAGTCTAAAACCTCTGGCTCTTAAAGGCCTTTACACACACCAAAGCGTCTCAACCCGGTTTGAGCTAAACCCTGATGGGCGAACCCAGGATCGCACTGGGTTGAAAACTTTGACCCTGCATTCAACTCGGAATTGTTTCGCACTTTGTTTCGAGCAACTTGAGCTTACCGGGGCGGAGTTCAATCCGGAAATGGGCACGAGCAAGTTTCAACCCGGAATGAAACTCTTAACCCCAGGTCCGGAGCAGGGTTGAGTTTCTCCTGGATAGAAGTCAACGTTGGGGTTGACGCAAGGGTTGGTTGCGGTTTCAAGTGCAAGTCGTCGCCTAGTTTCAACCCTGCTTCATGATTGGTCATGATGGCCGTCACAATTCATGACGATGAAGACTACCGATCTTCCAACACTTTCATTCAATTTTTTTATCTGATGCAATTTTATCAAAGCTCTTATGAGGAAATCCGTACTGTGATTGAGAGCAAGGTGAGCGAACTCGCTGCAGCCCCGAACAACACCGGCATCGGAATTTTCTTCGGCTGGGATCCCGAGCTGATTTCTGACCTGCCGCAGCTGAGCGCCGACTTCCTGGATAAATTCTCTGTGACCGTTCCAGTCCTGGTGTGGGGACAGAACGGCCACGTTGCCTGGGCAAACCATGCGGCCCTGGCAGCAGCAAACGTAAGGAAAAAGTAATTACCCTCGACAGTTACACGGTCCTTCGCCATCTGTAAGCTGTGTTCAATGTTGGCTGTCCAATATTATGTGCAACCTGTAAGACCAAACAAGCGTGAATCATTTGGCCGGCTGTCCTACCGACTAGCCAACTGACCCACCCACCCACCAGCGAAGCAGCGTTGTTCTGGGTCTAATTTCATGGCGCTTTTGAACAGTCAGCAGAAAAGTCGTGCTAACATTGGCAGAAAATTTTACTAACCTTATAGCACTATTTCATGGCTGTGCTCGGCGTGGTTGTGCTAACGGTCGCACGCACATAGAAATTTCTGTTTTGACGTTACTAAGTTTCAGCAATTTTTTTCTTCAAGGTTAACATGCCTTTGGGGGTGTGCTTTAATACTGCTTATGGTCTCTGTGAAAAACTTAGAGCCTCTCAGCATGAAATAATGGGCTAAGCAGCGCCGTGAAATTGGGCCCTGATTTGCATTAGGATTGATTTTGTGCACAAGTCAACAAGAACTGACTACAATATGCATTTCAGGTAATAATAATAAAATAATAATGAAAATTTATAATGCGCCAATATCCATCTATATAGAAGCAGAAAGACCCAGTGGACCAACTAGACCACCTTAATTTCTCTCCAGATAAACAGCACCACCGAAAATCCTCCCGGCGGGAAAATCGTGAAAGATCGTCACAACAATCCTACCGGTCAGCTTCTGGAGTTACCGGCCACCTTGGCAGTGGTCAATTTAGCGCCTCCAATGGACGCCCAGGCCTTCGCCCGCGCCTTAACAGACCAGTGGAGAGTCTATGCTTCGGCCGGCTTCACCACAGTGACCGACATGCTGTACTCTCCCATGCCCGGCCTCGACGAGGTGTTGAGAAGGTCTACAGACGCCCATGACTTCCCGCTCCGTCTTGGTATGACTAAAGTGTGTTTTTTTTGCAGTGCTGCACTTTTGTTATGGAGATCGGAAATATGCGAAATTCACCGTCCCACTGAAATCTTACCAAAAATATTCCAATTCACTTATCTGGGACCACACTGAGGCACGCCTTCTTAAACTTGCGTTTTTGGCATTTTAGGTCACCTTACTGGTCGAAACGAAGCGTACCGCCTGCTCGTGAGCTTGACGCCTCGCAATAATGACTTTCTGTTCGCCGAATCAGTCTTTAAAATGCTAAGTAAATTATATTCAACTAGTGTGCCTTGCTTTATATTTCCTCACAGCTCTGTACAGATTTATACAACCGGTGAAGGACGTCGATTTGCAAGACCATTGTTTTGACTGTACAGCGGACGGTATTGGCAATTACAGCTCCAGGCTTTGGGAGGCTGGCATCAAGATGATAGCCGATGGCTCCCCGCATAGCGGCACCTTGGCCGTCCGCGAGCCCTATCTGAACACCCCGCTGACCGAAACCCTGGGCTTCCCTGAGCCTCCGGGCTACGGCATCCTGAACATGGAAACGCAGGCTCTCCACGATACCATCAGGCGGTACCACCAGGCAGGGAAGCAGATGTCGATTCATGCCCACGGGGAGCGAGCAAACGACCAGGTCCTCAAGGCTTATGAGCAAGTACGCCATTGAGACACTGATAAATTAACACGTGCCTTGAGACCTGCACGTTGGGTCTTGGGGATGCGTCAGTCTGATCTGTTACAATCCACATGAGATTGTTCTTAAGTTAGATTTAAAGACTTTCAAAACAAAACAATCCTTTATCTTTATTCATACCGATAGGTGCATGTTTGTACCCTGTATGATAGCGTAGGTACAGATGGTGCAGAAAGTAAAAACATCAGCCAAGGTTTCTCCAGATGCAGAGGGCTTACGCGGGGGGGGGGCAAAATGGGAAAATTAAAAGAAAGATTAAAAAAACCCGAAATAAACAGGTAAAAGAGGAAAGGACTAAAAAATCTCCAGTTTACTTGAGAATACCTCGGAATTGACCCCCCTTCCATCGTGAATGGTTTGTCAGTTTGCTGCCAGGCTGCTGATCATTGCTATGCCCCCCAGCCCAGGTTGGACGAAGTCTACATTGCATTGCTACTAACGTCCAGGGTATAAAAGTCCGCAACAGTTTCAACAGTTTTTTCTCACATTTTTACCTGACGAAGACAGCTCAAATGTCGTTCACAAGTGCCTTGTATCCCGAATTCCATAAATGCTGTAATGTGATGAAATTACTAAATACGCCCGCAGACAACGTATTTTTATGTATTATTTTTCCTGCAAAATACGTTGTCCGCAGGCGTCTTAAGTAATTTCAACACAGCATTTTTGGAATTCGGGATACAAGGCGCTTGTGAACGACATTTTCAGCTGTCTTCGCCAGGTAAAATGCGAGAAAAACTGTTGAAAAAAGTTTTGCATTGTAGGGGGACTTTTATAACCTGGATGTTAGTCGCAATGCAGTGTAGACGTTGTCCAACCTTGGCTATGCCCTCCCCCATAAAACAACTCACAACACTCATAACCGAGGGTCTCCCGTGGGACAATATGCAATCCAACTCCACCTCTGCTAAATTTGCAACAACTTAATCGTAGATGCAGAAAATACATGTATACATGTACCACAAACTAATAGGTCCTGGCCGAGTTCCCTAACCAGGACAACCGGCATCGCATGGAGCATCTTGGCCTGATGACCGTGGACCAGATTAGCCGCGCCGGCAAGCTCAACTTGGCGCTTTCCTTCTTCGTAGATCATCTCCGCTTCTACGCCAAGGTCTACTCGACGGATATCTTCGGATCTGAACGCGTCAACCGCTGGACTCCACTCTCCGCGGCCACTAAGAATGGAATAACATGGACCATCCACCAGGTATTTAAATAGACTTTCAATACAGGAATGTAGTAGGGCCTATAAACAAACTCAGCATTTGCAGTGTCATGCCCACATCTGACAGAACTTTTCAAAAGTTGTTGTCGTCATAAAAAAAAGTTCCCATATGAACTCTTTTATCTGGATACATATAACAGGACCATCCCGCCTTTCCTGGGGAGCCCTCGCCATTTGCCAACATGAAGACAGCCGTCACTCGCTGCACCAGGGACGACCCCAACACTCCCTACGGCCCGGAGTACCGCGTCTCTATCCACGAGGCCCTGAAGGCCTACACCGTCAACGCGGCCTGGCAGCTTCACCTGGACCAGACGGTCGGGAGCATCAAGGTTGGCAAGAAGGCCGACCTCGTTGTTCTCTCAGACAACCCGTACGAGGTGGACCCGTTCGACTTGGAGCGCATCCGAGTCATTGAGACCTTCGTGGACGGCCGGCGCAACAACCTTGCCAAATTGAAGAAATTGAGAGACACTGACTTCCGTGTCCTTTATCGCCCTCTGGAGTCCTAATGTAGCTTACTTGAAACGAGCATGGCCCGTCTAAATAATTATCTGTCTTGAATCGCCCTTGCAGTGTAAAGGTACACATCGTCCATTAGTTTACCCTGTTGGATTATACAACTCATTCCCTACAAAATGGTGATATTTAGAAAGGCCATTTAAAAGTAGAATATCTGCTTTAAGCAGAAGAAACCCTTCATTGGTTGCAAACAGGCACATAAGTCGGGAGTCTTCATTTTGCTGGTGGCGAAGCGGCCGTAACGCGTGCATTTTCATTGCCGTTTGTGAACCAGCGTTGTGCAGTTCCGACCATAGGGTCGAGTTCGGGCGGCCCGCTCTTGACACAGGTTTCTTGTACTCGCGCTCGAACGGCTGGAACACGACCCAGGAACACTGTTCCCGGAACAGGATTACACACCACCTCCTCGTCAGGGTTTTACAGGAACACACGGAAAAACCCGGGAGATTTTGATTTTTAAACAGCTGTAAGCAATAGCGAGATGGCTTACAAAGCCGGAGACAATGGGGAGTTTTGCAAAATGAAAACTATTAATTTTCCACAACACAGAAATGAATGTTCCTTTTTAAATAGAAAAGAATTCAGGCCAGTTACCCAAGCATTAACCCTCCAAAATCGTAACGGACGCCGCCATTTTTCTTGTAGTACTACAACCAGCGATAACCAGTTTTACGCTTCCGGCGTTCGAGTGGCAAACCCACAAATAACATATCGAGCTCTTCGTGAACATATGAGAACAAGCCGCCCGAAC